TTTGAGATTTTTTAGCTAAAAATAAGAAAATTCCAATTTAAAAAGATTTGTGAAAGATTTTAACGATTTTTGAATGATTTTAGGGAGGTTTAATATTTTTTTGCTTTTTTTTTTGTTTTTTTGTTTTTTTGTTTTTTTTTTTAAAAGAAAACCCAAAATTGGGTTATGACAAGAGGAAACGATAAAAGTTTGGAAATCCGATATTCAAACATCGATAGAAGCAACCACAAAATAGCTAAACTTGAAAACAAAAGAGCTACTTCAAGCAAACCAAAGGTCGATATCTCAAAGCATGTGGCATTAAATGTTATTGTGAGCAATCTAGTTGAAAGAAGGAGATCGAGCTTTTTAAATGTTATCTACAATTTTTAGATTAAAAAAAATTACTTTACCATTTTTATCATTATTGTAGGATAGGCATGGACATGGCCATCTCTCAATTGACCTTATAAACTATATCGTTTTAGTATCTAACTTGTGACTTGCATAGATACGAGTCACCCTATATAACAAACCATAGGAATATGTCATCGTGAACAACAAACCATGAGGGCGAGTCACCTTGAACAATAGGTGAGGAGAATGATGTGTTTTCTTTATTTGTGCGTTGCTTGTGTTTCATGTGTTTCTTTCTTAATTTCTTTACAAAGCTTTTTATGCAAAGCCAAAAAAAAAAAAAAAAAAAAAAAAAAACTTTCAATGACTTTGGATTGAAAATATTATAAAGAGGAGGATTGACTATCACCTAATTTTTGACCCCTTTGTTTTACAAATTTTTCTTAAAAAAAAATTTAATGTGTTTTGTTAAATTTGCTTGATTACACAATTTTTATCCTAGAGGATATCAAGATTTTTAGAAGTTTAGAAAAAAAAAAGAAATAAATAAATAGAAGAAAAAAAGACAAGCAAAGAGAAGAAAAGGAGAGAAAATAAGCAAAAGAAGACAAAGAGGGAAGAAAATAAAAAGAAGAAAATAGACTAAAATTGGAAATCGTAGACCTAATTAATTAAATGCCGGAACTTAGACCAAAAAATAATTCAACTAGGAGTTCAATTAAAAAGTTAACCAATTGAAAATACAAATAAGACGAAAAAGAAGAAGAAAGATATGAGGTTTAAATGCAGGAAAAGAAAAAAGTTGGAAAAAATAAAAAAATACAAAAAACTCTAACTAGCACTACTATATAAACCTCTCTTCATCTCTCAAGCGAAGAGGGATGTCATTTCATTCATCTTTTCTTTGAGAGAAAGAAACCTAAAGAAGGAAAACTTCTTCCATTTATCTCTCCCAAAAACACCACTAGAAAAACCCCTCACTCGTCATCCATGGGCACGACAACCTAAGCCATACAAAACCACCAAAAAACTTCCTCAAGCTATCGGCCAAGAACCAAGGAAAACCTTAAAATGTCATCGACCAAGCCCTCTCCCATTCGACCGTTGCTATTGCAACTTCAAGCAACTCCCATACCATCTAAAAAGCCGCTACTCCACCCAAAGACACCACTATATAGTAGCTTCAACGAGTGGCTAGCAGCCTTAACGGCTCCAACATCCTCAAAACTACGAAGTGACCACTAAATCATGACGACCCCATTGTTGGTAGTTTGACCTTTAGAGGAAGATCTTAAAATTTTACCTCTTTAAAGACCCAAAACAAAAAAAGAAACCTTCTTGATATTTAAAGCAAACATCTTAAGATTTAAAAAATGATCTAAAATGTGCAAATCCATCTTGGTTTGTATTGTCAAAGTCATATGCAAATTCAAGTCGAAACTCGAATCTCCCGACAATCTAGAATAATGCCTAGTGTTAAGACCATAAATGGAGCTATACATATTGGATTATGATGATTCAAAAGCCTTAAGAAATAATACATCCATACCTATAATATTCATGAAGAGACTAAGATATATATATATATATATATATAAAACTATTATCTAATCTAAAATCGACCTAGAGGATATGACCTCAAACAACCCCCTCTTCATTTTTTTAGTAGTAATAGCAAACAACGAAACCCCTCTTTTGCAGGTTGTGTTCCAACAACCATAACCAGTAGCTCATTGGCATTCTAGCCCCTAAAATATAGCTTCATAGCATCTTTCTCTCGATTAATTTTCTCTCTTAGATTGATAACATCGATTGTCTTAATCGAAGGGTGAAGAAAATGGTCTAAGAGCTAAAAAAGGGACCTTGCCTCATCAATGCTTCTAAGGAACTTTCTAAGCTATTTTGAAAAACAAGATAAGTTTTTGACATTTCTATATCACCTTTGTATTTTTGAAATAAAATGATTGTATTGAATAAATGAGTTATATATGGATGAAAATATAGATTTTAAAGCATTTGGGATACACCGTTGTGTAAACCCAAAACGGTTGGTGACACCAAGTACTCTCGAGTTGAAATAAGGTGGTGTTCAATACTTCTTAATGGATCTGAAGGACTCGGTTATAGGTTTTAATTTAAGTAGTTTATCCAAGACGAGTGTCGATCCTAGTATGTGCATTTGAGAATGATATTGCTTTTATGATGAGTTTGAGTTAAATATGATGTTCATGCTATGTTTTTTTGTGTTAAATTGAACCAAAGTCGTCGTTAGCTTTTTGTTTGTGTGGATAAAGTTATTGGTGGCCTCCTAACAATGTGAATCATAATCGATGACAACTTTCTATTTATATTGATAAAGTCATCGGTGGCTTCTTTATGATGTGAATCGGAGTTGTTGGTAGATTCTCGCTTGTATGGATGAAGTCATCGATGGTTTCTTAATGATGTGAATCGAAGTTGACATTAGCTTTCCACTTGTATGGATAAAGTTGTTGACGACTTTCGAATGATGTGAATCAAAATTAATGACGACTTCCTATTTATATAGATGAGGTCATCAATATCCTCAAATCACTTAAACACCCCCCTAAAAAAAAAAAACTCGCAACGAATGAAAAAAATGAAGTTTTTGACCGAAATAAGAAGTTTCTAAAATTAAAGGATCAAATTGAAATTTTTTTGCCAAACAGTGGGAAGGTACAAGTGTGGTTAAGTCCGCATCCACAGTGAAATTGGGTGACCATCTACAATAAAAAGCACGAGTGCATAGATAGTAAATGTTGGTTTTTTTTTAATGTACAATAAAAAGAACGAGTGCACAAATAGTAAATGCTAGTTTTCTTTTAATATTTTTTTGTTAATATTAATGAAAAGTGTGATGATGATTTAAAAAAATTAAATGGTTGGAATAACATATTTGACCATAAATTTACTGTATTAATTAGATCCAAAAAATAATATGACAAGTGAAAATATCATCTTTGCCATGATTCCATGATTAAGAATTAACAATATTGAGTTAAAATCGATTAACCGAGTCGAACCAAAATCAAACAATAATTTGGTTCGATTTTTAATAAATTTTCATTTAAAAAACAAAATTGAATTAATTTGATTATTGAGTTTTGATTCGGTTTTCAAAATCTTTAATTCTATTTCTAATAAAATCAATTTTTCTAAAAATACATTTGAACTTTTAATTGTTATTTAAATTTTAGTAGATTGGCTTACAACATGTTTGAATATTCAATAATTTTTTATCATTACATATTTTAAATGTAGATTAATAAACTTTATGTTTAAATTTTTAGGTCTTGTGGTGTAGTTTTATTCTTTGGTTTTATTTAAATAAATATTTATATCTTTTATATAAGCTAATTTAGATCATTTGGGTTAAAAAAGGACTCAGTAGTTTGTAACACAATTTTTTTGAGCTATTTACATTATTTAAAAAAAAAGATATCAGCAAAAAAAAAAAAAATCGGTTTTTTTTTTAAAAACCAGAATATTGAAAACAAATTTGAATCGGTAGTAAATTGTAATATTCTGGTTTTTTAAAACCAGATAATTGAAAACAAATTGGATTTTTTTTCCCAATCAATTCAATTAATCAAAAACTAAATTAGAATATTAAAAATTAAAAAAAGAAAGAAAGAAAGAATGCTCCCCTTAACCATAACCATCCCTTCCAATTCAACTTGGCTGTCCTTTTTGGGAATAAATTATAAATTGATCCCTTTAGTTTTAAAAAATAAATAAATTAATCTCTTTCGTTTTAAAAATTATTATTTAATCTTTTAATCAGTAATGGTTATATTTATTACACAAAATTTTTTATTTTTTATATTTTTTAAAATAAAAAATTAAAATAAGTAAAAAATAAGTAAAAAAAATTAAATTATAAATAAATTACAAAATATAAGGACTATATAATTAAATTTTAATTAATTCATTTCTGGAAATCAGATACTTTCAGCCTTTCCTTCTTACACAGTAAAAAACTTGGACACAAAAAAAGGAAAAGCGTCCCCAAATCACTGAAAAACCCTCCCATACCGCGACGACCCTGCCACCTGTAACTCTACACGCAGCTTAACTCATGTTTGGTTAACTTAACAATATCAGGCGGCTACTTTGTAACCCAACATCACTGGTCCCCCTATTTCGCCTTTCTCTTTCCAGTACATTATTACACACAACAGACACACACACACTCACACAGCTCTCTCTCAAGTCTCACCTCTGCATAATTTACAGAGACACACACATGTATGCATGTCCCATGTCCACACATTCCCTCTATAAATATTTCTCTCTTAAAAGTTACTCCTTGCTATCCTGTTAAATACTATCCATCCTCCTTTCTCTTCCCTTTATAAAATTTCGCTTCTTCTCTCTCTCTCTCTCTCTCTGTAGACTCATCAGCAATATCGGGCAGAAGGAGGCAAGGAGCTACTAGCTGCAACAGTTTGCTGCAGACAGACATATATCCTCTCCAGTTAGTTATTTAACGGTTTTTGTCCTCCTCTTCTCCATCCTGCCAGTTCCCTCTTCTTAAATTTACCCCTCAATGCCACTCACTTTTCACTACTAGACCTTTTCAGCAAAACCACCACTCCCTTGTCTTGATTGACATATTTCAGTCCAAAAAAATCTAAGAAACGATGATTACCTGGAATGATCTCTACAACGTTTTGTCCGCTGTGATACCACTGTATGTGGCTATGATCTTGGCTTTTGGGTCTGTTCGATGGTGGAAAATTTTCAGCCCGGACCAGTGTTCCGGTATCAACCGTTTCGTGGCGATATTCGCAGTGCCACTATTGTCATTCCATTTCATCTCCACCAATGATCCTTATTCAATGAACTTCAGGTTCATTGCGGCCGACACGCTTCAAAAAATAATAATGTTGTTTGCTCTGGGGATTTGGACTAATTTCACAAAAAATGGAAGTTTGGAATGGATGATTACCATCTTTTCTCTGTCGACTCTTCCGAACACTCTTGTTATGGGCATTCCTCTTTTAATCGCCATGTATGGCGACTACTCGGGAAGTCTAATGGTTCAAATTGTGGTGTTGCAGTGCATCATTTGGTACACTCTCCTTCTGTTTCTTTTCGAGTATAGAGGTGCCAAGATGTTGATCATGGAGCAATTTCCTGAAACTGCAGCCTCCATTGTTTCGTTTAAGGTAGATTCTGACGTGGTCTCTTTAGATGGTCGAGATTTTTTGGAAACTGATGCTGAAATCGGTGATGATGGCAAGTTACATGTGACTGTCAGGAAATCTAATGCCTCCAGGCGGTCTCTGGGACCGGGTTCTTTCTCTGGATTGACTCCTCGGCCATCAAATCTTACTGGAGCTGAGATTTATAGCCTGAGTTCTTCAAGGAATCCTACTCCCAGGGGGTCTAATTTCAATCCGTCCGATTTCTACTCCATGATGGGAGTTCAGGGATTCCCTGGAAGGCATTCAAATTTCGGTCCGGCTGATTTGTATTCTGTACAATCTTCAAGAGGGCCAACTCCAAGGCCGTCCAATTTCGAAGAAAATGGTGCTCCAATGGCTAATATATCCTCTCCTAGATTCGGGTTTTATCCAGCACAGACAGTACCCACGTCTTATCCTGCACCAAATCCTGAATTTGCCTCAACTATCGCTACTAAAACAGGAAAAAATCAGCAGCAGAACCAGCAGCAACAACAGCAGCAGAACCAGCAGCTGAATAGCAAAGCAAACCATGATGCTAAGGAGCTGCACATGTTTGTGTGGAGCTCAAGTGCATCACCAGTTTCGGAAGGAGGTGGGCTCCACGTATTCGGCGGGACTGATTTTGGTGCATCAGAGCAATCTGGACGGTCTGATCAGGGTGCCAAGGAGATCAGGATGCTGGTTGCTGACCACCCGCAAAATGGGGAAAGCAAAAGTATATTAATTCACTACCACATAAGCACAATTAATTAATTGTCCGATTAATCAGTAAACCATTTTACACGTTTCAATGCTTTAGTCTAATTTTACTTTTATGTTTATTTTTAAGCTATCCCACAAGCTGGAGATTTTGCTGGTGAGGACTTTAGTTTTGCTGGCAGAGGAGAAGGAGAAGATGATCAGAGGGAAAAGGAGGGGGCCGCTGGACTTAACAAACTTGGGTCCAGCTCAACCGCCGAGTTGCAAGCAAAGGCTGCCGGAGCTCAAGATTCCGGTGTCAGTAAACAGATGCCTCCGGCAAGCGTTATGACCCGTCTGATATTGATCATGGTTTGGCGCAAACTTATTCGCAACCCCAACACATACTCTAGTCTCATTGGTCTCACTTGGTCTCTGGTTGCTTTCCGGTTAGTTTATCGATTTTGAAATTAAATTTGTATTTTCTCCTCTCTTTTTTTCCCCTTTTCTGTGAGTAATTTACAATATGGTATAGATATTTTTGGTGTTTAACTATGATTTTCTTATTGCAGGTGGCACGTGGAAATGCCCAAAATAATAAAACAGTCAATCTCCATACTGTCAGATGCTGGACTCGGAATGGCTATGTTCAGCTTAGGTGAGTGGCCATAATTGTTGTCATCAGCTAACGCATTCATTTTTTTCGTAACCTTTCACTGTCTCCTCTGTCAAACAAATACTTAAAAAACAATTACATTCAGCCGATGATCAGTGGATGATTCAAACGGACTTGTACTCATATTTACACAGTACCATGCAGTAATAATATATTAGATTCTTTGTTCCTATATATAGAGTTTCTGGTTCGAGCTTCTTTCAAGAGAGGGACGTGGCACATTTGTTACCACACTAGGCTTCGGCGCTGTAGGTCATCAAAGTTAGTTTTACATTTGTCTGAGTTAAGGCTGGCCGTATGGGTTGGGTTCTACACAACTCAGAATTGAATGGATGGTTGTGAATTGTGAGCAATGTCATCACAAGAAATTAAGGGGTTTTTTGTCCTTGGACTATAAATAGATTGACCATCCGACACATGGGGTCGGTTTAGCTTGCGGTCCAGGGTCGGTGGGTAAAGGTTGTGAGTAGTGATAGATTGCCCATTTCAGCTCTCCAGTTAGTGAAGGTAGTTGAATTCGTGAGAAATTAAAGATTTTAATATTGAATTTCTGTGGATGTACTGATTGGGTTGTTATTGTGAAAGGTCTCTTTATGGCTTTACAACCGAAGATAATTGCTTGTGGGAATTCGGTTGCCACATTCGCCATGGCTGTTCGATTCTTGACTGGCCCTGCGGTAATGGCTGCTGCTTCAATTGCTGTTGGCCTGCGTGGTACCCTTCTTCATGTTGCTATTGTTCAGGTAAAAGTTATTTTCATAATTAATATTTACTGCAATAATTACTGCATGTACTTATAATCTCTAATTGGTTATATACGTACCTTGATCAGTTATTGTGAAGTATATATATTGGTTATGTTACATCATTTATTTATTCCTATTCAATAGGCTGCACTGCCACAAGGAATTGTTCCATTTGTGTTTGCCAAAGAGTACAATGTTCATCCAGCCATTCTTAGCACTGCGTAAGTAAAATATTGCTACATATATAGTAGTATAGATCGATATTTTACGTCTAACAGTATATATATATATATAAAGTAAAAAAAAAAACTAATTATTTCTTCTGTATTAATTTTGTCATACAGGGTTATCTTTGGAATGCTCATAGCGTTACCAATTACTCTTGTTTACTACATTCTTCTTGGATTGTGATCAATTCTACTTAGCAGTAGCCGAAAAGGGAGCAAAATGTAGAGAATTTTGATTACTTGCTGATTGTGTGTCACCTTTGGCAGCGATATTTGATTATTGCGCCAAAAAAAATATGTTCTTATAACAAGAGGATCATTGCCGGGCAAAGAAGATTTTAGTACGAAGAATTTGCCAAAGGTTCCAAGATTTTTGGAGCTGAAAATATTTTTAACTCAGTGGAAACCCTGATATAAGGAGCATGCACTCATTAGGAGCCAAAGTTCGTTTAATTTTCTAAGGTTTGAGATGAAAAAAGAAGGCCAGTCTTAGAAGGGGGAGACATCAAAGAGGAAAACAAGGGCTAAAAAAGGCAGTCACTGATATTTTAATTCTCTTCATTTCTGCTAATGGGGGTCTGCAATTACAAAAAGACAATGAAAAATGAATTAATCTGTAAAAGTTACAAGGAAGAGGAGACAAGGGTTTTCCTTTTTACTATTTTTTTACTATTTAATGTTCCTTTAATTTGTGTTATTTCTTAGCGTTTGCTTTGATTGTCCGTAGATCCGGCAATTATTTGCGTTTGTCGTCTTTCTTTTTGGTTTGTAATTTATCTAGGATTATCAATTATGATCAAATTAAAGGGAGCATTAGCCACTCACCTTGTTAATATACAAAGTTGATCATGTATGTTTCATTAAGACATGACAAAGACTTGCTACGTGTTACTTGAGTCCTCAAACCTCCCTATCAAGAAAAAGCGTAAATATGGAGGAAAATAATGTGTTTGAGAATAAAGGGGTTCTTTTGAAAGAACTCCTTTCTACCGAGGGGGGCTTTGTGCCGTTTTATTCCGGGGTTCTGTTTTGAGAAGCTGGCTTGAGAGGTTGAAAAATATATAGAGATAAGAAAGAAGATAGAAAGCTGGGGTCAAAAGCAGCTAACCTTACATTTGCTTTTTGCTAGCTTTTGATGCGTCCACAATCCTACCCTACCTTTTAAGGCAAGTATGAAATCACTTTAATAGGGTGGTGGGTTGGTCAAAATTTCCAACTTTACTAGAATGAAAATGATGGCACGTGATCAATCGGATTTACTTCTAACTTTTCTATCATGGTAACCAGCCACATTACAGCTTCAAAAATAGTTTGTATTTATTTGGCCTAAAATCTTAACAAAATTATCATCTTTTGATGCATTAGTATAAGTTATGAACGGAAAAGAGAGAAATTATTGAAGTATACGAGATCAGATGGGAAAATATCATTTGAGTGTTCGAAACAATAAGGTTCTTATGATCCAAATATTTTTCAATTTTTGAACATTTCATTTAAAGCATTCAGTGTTTTGTCTTGTGTAAAAAAAAAAAAAAAAAAAAAGCATTTGCATCCGATGTTTCAGTTTTGATTAATTAAACCTAATTAATTAATAATGTTTTAAATTAGATAGATTTTAACACATTAATTTCAGTCCAATTGAATGCAATTAATTAAAAATAGAACATAACATAGTTGCAAATTGATTTTCCTCACCTATGTAAATAAGTTTTTTTAAAAAAATCTTTAATTTAATCTGACTTACATAAAAAGTAATTATCATTTTTATATAACAAATGCTGATAAAAAAAAAAAAAGGATTTATTGAATTGCGTAGTAAATATATGGCAATGAAGATTTAGATAAAGAATAAAACAAACTCTTTTTTTATTATTATTATTATTATCATGAAATTTCAACTGAAATGCAAATCAATTTGTTGAATCTGACCCTACCCCTTGTTGGGTGCTCTTAAGCTTTCTCAGGCCAAAAGTTATTTAAAGAAATGTTATTCACACTTACAGCTAAGTGCGAAGTACTTTTCACAATCGATCAAGTGGAACAATACAATATTTTTTTTTTCCACACATGAGGTCTAAATGGATTATTTCTCGTCAAATTAAATGATATCGGCAAATAGAATATTATTTAACATGAGTTTTGTTATAAGTGTTGAATGTTATTGAACTTCTTTAATTTTAAAAACTAATTTAAAAAATAAAATTTTTTCTCATATTTATAATTAAAAAATCAGTTTTTTTCACAATTAATATGGGATAACACAACACTTTTATTGTTTAAAATAAAAGAAAAGGAAAAAAAAAAAGGCATCCATTGCAAACGTAATTAAAGGCACATTAATTTGTTTTATAAATGACTACGTAGCAATTGAGAAATAATGCTTTTCTACGTACTAATAATATTCTGTTATGAAATATTTTATCGAAATTTTCATTAAAACGAACTTCATTTTTTTATCAGAATGAAAAAAAAAAATTTCTGAGCTATGAGAGACCATCCCATCACTATAATTCTCAACTCGGCATATTTAACAAAATTCAACCCATATTTTTATCCTCTTGTGCATTTGAATGCAATTCTTGGATGGAACAAATTAAACCATGGAGAAGATCGATACACCTGAAACGAATTAATTAATTCTGATACATGTTTTACTAAATTATCATTATCAGTATTCCACAATAAACTCAATTGATCTAACTAAAACTTGACAGCTAGCACCAACATTCTCATCGGTCAAATAAATCATTTGGTAAGTAATTGCCAACCCCGAAATTTTATTTTGATGGGTTGTAGCTTTGGAAGGGAACATAGTTTCCACAAAGTTGGCTTTGAAACTCTAGGCAGTTTCATAGATTCACCACCCTAAGTTGCACTATGACGAGACTAAATTAGTTAGCCCCCACCCCCCAATGAAAGTGAAAACCTTATCTTATTTGTTTAATTATCAATTAATTAACCTTGGATTTTATGGAAGAGCAATAGAAGCGGGTAAGACCAACATGCAATGCCACAGTCAGAAAGCGATGGCTCTTGGCGCGATGAGACAGGGATTAACAGTGGCTATTACGGTCTCACGTGGGATTGTAGGGAGGTTGCAACAAACGGGGTTGTCAGCCCCACGTGTGGTGAATTGAACCTCGTTTTCTTATGGCTAATGCTTTTTTCAGTGCTAGCTAGCTAGCTAGCTGCTGAAATGTGAGCCAGTACTCTGCGAAATTGGACCACACCTAGCTAGGTGATAAATCGGTAGTCTAAAATGGCATTAAAATTCAATGGATTGCTTTTAGGCTTTGACCAATAGACAATAGCCAGAGTCCAACAGCCTCACTTGAATTTGAGTGCTCTACATCTATCAAAAAAGCTTGTCGCACTCATTTCAAAGAACGATCGCGCACAATTTTCTTTTGGGGAGTACCTAAGAAATCTTTTCTTTTAACTATCTCGTCAACTGAAAAAAAGAAATTATTTTAAAATTTGTGTAGATTCGTTATTATATTGAGCTTGATTTTTAATTTAATTAGAAAAATAAGAGGGGTTATATTCAAAACGGTAATTGTTTGGTTATCAAGTTTTTTATAATATATTAAAAAATTATTTCAATTTAAAAAATTTAAGTGATTAAGTAAAACTTCAATATTGATTTTAAACTGTCTATCTAATATTTCTTATTTATCAAATTCAAATACGGTATTGTTTCCACTTCAAAGACTATCCCACAATCAAAGTTCAAGAACAAAAAAAAAAAAAAAAAAGTCTCTCTCTATATATATATTTCTTTTAATCAACATTGTCTTGCTATCTTATTTTAAAATAATTCTATCTTTTCTAAAATATTTTTTTCAACATTAAAAAAAAATATTTAAAGGAAAAAAATTGCTAATAGTAAAAGAGAAGTAAAGATAGAAAGTAAATAGTTTGAAGAGTTTAATCATGCTTATAGATATTTAGTCCAAAATATAAGATTTTTTATATAAGTGATATATAGTTTTATAACACCCTCTTCATTTTATCTTCATATGTTATAAATTAATTTCAATGTATCTTTATATATTTAATCATATCTGTTATATTATTAATTTGTAAAATTGTGATGTACATATTTCTAAGTTGTCTTTTTAATAGTGCATGTAATCTAAATTAATAGAAATTTGTGTGTAAAATATCCATAATTATAAATTTATTTTTAAAACCCAAACTACCTTCACCCCAATACCTTCCAAGCATAATACACATACATATACGCACACAATGTACATATGTATGTATATATATTCTATTTAGTAGAGAGATAAGAAAAATACATGTATGTTGAAGTTTTGATTTGAGCTGAAGAAGAAAAGAAGAGGAGAATGCAGAGAAGAGTTAAGTGAGAGAGTGAGAGGGAAAACGAGAGAGGGAAACAAATTGAAAAATTCCTCAAATATTTCATTAAACAAAAAATGCTTTGTTACAGTTACATTTATATCCAAAATAACAATTTTACTAATCTCCTAACTAACCATAACTGACTAAACAACCAACTTAACAAACAATAACCATATAGTTACATTTATATATCCTTAGATTCTAATATACATGCATTTCATCCAAACAGCACTAAACTATATCCTTAGATTTAAATGATACCCGGAATAAATGAAAAGAGAATTACACTCGAATTAAAAGAAAAAATTAGAGCAAAACAGATACATGGTATATGAGAAAAGAGTCACTCATCAATCTCATAAGATATAGTAGAGTCGGTAACTGTTACTCTGTAAACATTCATTCTTCTTGTTAAGTAATATTGTCCATCAAATCTACTCCAATCTTTCCGCACATATAAAATGAACCTCCATTAAAAACTTCACATCAACAATAAAAAACCATAAATTCTAATGGAGTGGCCTAGGAGAGTAAGAAGAACAAATAAACTAGATATTATAAAACAAAAGGCACCATAACTAAATGTATAAATCCTCAATATGAGATCATTGAAAATAAGAAAAAATGCCAACAATAACTAAGAAAACCTCGACTCTTAAAACCCTAAAGGAAGAAAATAGAAAGAAAAGTACTCTTCTATCGTTGCCTTACATGGTAAATTGTGATTATAATTTCAATTAATTTAGATCACATTATAATCGAAAGATTTAGCTAAAATTTAATGGCATGACAGGTGCAATTAAAAGGATTAATATT